CATTTTTTTGGGGCAGATTTAGAGGCGCCAAAAACGCCCAAATTCACCCCAAAATTGGGGAATCTCAAAAGCCCCAAAATCCCCCAAAAATTCCTCAAAAAATCCCCCAAAAATCCAGCGGAATTCGGCCCAAAAACGGCCAAAAATCGCCTCAAAATCACCAAATCTCGCCCTGAAATTTCTTCTTTTTGTGGGGATTTAGAGACCCAAAATCCCCACAAATGGCCCCAAAATTTGTGGGATCCTGAAATCCTCCAAAATTCCCAAAAATTCCAGTGAAATTCCCAAAATTTCCAGAAAAATTCCCCAAAAATTCAGCCCAAAAAGAGCCAAAATTGCTTCCAAATGGCCAAAATCGCAGCCAAGCCAGGAAGCCCCAAAATTTAGGATTTCAAAGCTCCAAATTCTCCAAAAATTGCCCCAAAATTTGGGGATACCGAAATCCCCAAAATCCCCAAAAATTCCCCAAAAAACCCAGCCAAATTCGGCCCAAAAACGGCCAAAAATCGCCTCAAAATCACCAAATCTCGCCCTGAAATGTCAGATTTTTTGGCAAATTTAGAGGCGCCAAAAACACCCAAATTCACCCCAAAATTTTGGGGATCCCAAAATCCCCAAAATCCCAAAAAATCCCCAAAAAATTCTGGCCAAATTTGGCCCAAAAACGGCCAAAAATCGCCTCAAAGTCACCAAATCTCGGCCTGAAACTTCAATTTTTGGGGTTTTTGGGTCATTTTTGGGGTGGTTTTTGGGGTTTTTGGGAGCGCTGAGTCAAATTTGGGGTTTTTTGGGGGGTTTTTTGGGGTTTTTGGGGGTACCAAGTTATTTTTTTGGGGTTTTCGGGGGTGTTGATTCCATTTTTTAGGCCGTTTTTGGGGTTTTTGGGGTGATTTTTGGAGTTTTTGGGGGCGCCGAGTCAGTTTTTGGGGTTTTTGGGGTGGTTTTGGGGGTTTTTTGGGGGCGCCGAGTCCGTTTTTGGGGTGCGTTTTGGGGATTTTGGGGTGCATTTTGGGGTTTTGGGGTCCTGAGTCCGTTTTTGGGGTTTTGAGGTGATTTTTGGGGTGGTTTTCGGGGTTTTTGTGGGCGCTGGTTCTATTTTTGGGGTTTTTGGGGGCACCAAGTCAGTTTTTGGGATTTTTGGGGGCGCCGAGTCCATTTTTGGGGTTTTTGGGGTGGTTTTTGGGGGCACTGAGTCCGTTTTTGGGGTTTTTGGGGTGATTTTTGGGGTTTTTGGGGGCGCCGAGTCAGTTTTTGGGGTTTTTGGGGTGGTTTTTGGAGTTTTTGGGGGCGCCGAGTCAGTTTTTGGGGTTTTGAGGTAATTTTTGGGGTTTTTGAGGGCACCGAGTCCGTTTTTGGGGTTTTTGGGGTTTTTGGGGTTTTTGGGGGTGCCAAGTCCGTTTTTGGGGTTTTTGGGGGCGCCGAGTCCGTTTTTGGGGTGCGTTTTGGGGATTTTGGGGGGCGTTTCGGGGCTCCCACCTGACGAAGGGGTCCCCGCGGGTGTTGGGCCCCACCACCTCCATGCTGCTGGTGTAGATCAGCACCGGCACCCCCGCGG